ATCTTACCCGTTCGGCTAACGACCCTCCACCAGTCAAGCAAGCGGTGGGTGAGAGTATACACCCATTAAGTCGCCATTTTATAGGCAACAACCTTATACCCACCTTATAGACCGGCTTCGTGAATGAGGCCTACTAACGGTAAAACGACTTGTTTTTATACATACATACATACATACATATATATATATATATATATAATATAATTAACTTTAATGTTATAAATAGTATAAGTGTTGAATTTTAACTTTTAAAATTCTAAGTGTTGGAATTAAAGTTTATTAAAGTGTGTGAAACTTTTCCAAATTCCAAAACTTGAGGACAAGTTTTGTAACTCTTCAAAACTTTTCATTTCATAACTTATGAATTAAAGGTTCATAAAATGAAGACTCTTCATTTTATGTAACTTATGTGTTTTTAATGTGTGTTAAAGAAATGTGACCTTTGGATATCCATAACTTGAGGACAAATTATGGACTCCATTAAAACACATAAATGATCAAGAATTAATCCTAAACAATTCAGCAAATAATTCCTATCATCTTCTAAATTCATAAGAACATGAACATGATTATCAAAGTTTCAAAATTATATGAACACATACAAAGCATGAAATTTTGATATATGCTATTGTAAATGGATTAGAACAACCATTACACCAACCAAAATAAGTTTTAAAACATCAAAACAGTTTGGGGTAAAGTTTCTAGTCCATTTCCAGCAGCAAAAGTCGAAAATTTGCATTCTGAACCTTCTACTCGCCGAGTGCACGAATCTACTCGCCGAGTCCCCCCATGGACTCGGCGAGTCCATCATGCAGACAGCAAAGATTTCGACTATTTTCCCTATTTTGCATCATGTATCAAACAAGCAAGCCTAGGCTCTGATACCACTGTTGGGTTTTGAGCAATCTAACACTTCCTAAGTGTGCATGCAACCCTAATAAACCTTGGATCTATGTTTGTCTAAATACATGCAAAATAATAATTTTCCAAGGTTCATAACCTATCTAACATGGCATGGGGTACTTTTAAACATAAAAGAGTTAGAAGATATTACATACCTTTTTGATGAGTTTGATTCTTAAGGAGTTTGAGGGCCAAGCACCAATAGTGTGAATGCCTCAAATGGAATCACAAATCACCACAAACTCTTGGAAAACTTTGAGAGAGTGTATACACACTACAATTTTCGGCCACACACAAGCACACACACTAGTGGCTATTTCATGCAACATAAGCATGCTTATATAGTGTACATGATTAGGGTGAAACCCTAATAACCCATGACCTTTCCTTTTCCAAGGATCCATGGGTTAAAAGCTCCATGGATCATCCATGGACTTCCATACAAGCCTAGCCCATTAACAAATGGGTGTTAGCCCACACCATATAAAATCAATAGCCCACAATCTAATTAGTCTTCCTTTTAATCTCTAAATTAATTCATAATTAATTTAAGACTAAGACTAATTAAATAACATGACTTCATATTAATATATTATAACTTATAATATATTAATAATAATATGTGTATAACTCTCATAAAATTATCCATAAATAGTTTGGATGAAATGCAACCCAAATGGACCATGCCGGGTCGGGTCAAGTATATACCAAATAAGTTATGGACTTAGACACCTTATCCAATAGACTCCCACTTGGATAAGTCTAATAACTGTATTTGCCTATTACTTCAGGAACCAACCGGCAATCGTAGCTCTCGAAAACTCTGTTGAACTATGAAGCGCCATTTTAAGATAAGTGATCATACAATCCTCTGTTCTCATGATATCAGCCAGACAAACACATGGAACTATGTCTTGCTTATTGTCTGGCAGTTGTTTCTCGATTTCCGATTTGTTTGACAAAGAAGTCAACTGAACACATCAATTTAGTTCTGACCGGGCCCGGTACATGGGTCAACACAAAATCATCGAGGGGCCCAGATATCACTTCGATTTCTAGAAGGAACAGATAAACTTCGACTCATATACTTGTTCTACTACTTGTTGAATTGTACACAAAGGCACGTTTTATAACATCAAGTTACTGATGCGTTTACGTGAAATCAATGCACAACCAACTCATAAGTAACAACTCATATCTCTAGGTTTGAAGATTTATATGATATTACCGTCTCACGATCACTCGAGATAAATTCCATGAAGTGATACAAGTGAGCGTGGGTATAACCCATAATCCATACCCATGGGTCATGGGTACAACCCATAATCCATACCCATGGGTTTTATGATCCATGGTTCATGTGGCCCAACTCTTTATGTATCTATACATAAACTTGGTCCAACATGGGTTATAAGCCCAACACATATAAATATAACTAATTATCATAATTAGTCCCCATAGATTTAATTAGTCTTTTTTGATCACTAAATTAATTCCAAATTAATTCTTGATCGATACTAATTAAAACATATGATTTCATATTAATATATTATTACTTATAATATATTAATAAGTCATAAATAACCTTCTCTCAAAAGTCCATCCTAACAAATTGTTCTGATGATATGCAACCCAAATGGACCATGCTACTCTCGGGTCAAGTACATACCAATAATAGTTATGGGCTTAGACATCTAATCCAACAACTGCTTCATTGGAGCAGTAGCAATAGGTGTTATCACAACATGAATAGCCACGACCTGCTGCTTTTGGTAGAGTTCTACGCCACGTTGTTCTTCTTCTTGTTATCCCAAAACTTCCGCTTGTTGTCAGCGGCTTTGGAGGGTTCTGGGATGGCAAGGGTTGTTGTTGTTTTCGGGGTGCAGACTCCGTGATCGATGAGCCGCTGTGCTAGCCGTTTGGTACTGTTGAAGTAGTGGGGTTTGAAGCTAAGACATTCCCCTAGAATGGAGGCATCAGCCCCCAAATATACCTCTCAACTTTATACACTCTGGTCAAAATTTCGCAAATATTCTTTCAAGATAATCGTGTTTTCCCAATTCTCATAAACCCTAACAATGGCGACTCCAACTGGTCATGTTATGCAGTATCCTGAACAGTTACAAATTGATTGTTGCTCTCAGTCACTCTGTTCATTCCACTATTATGCCATCTTCATTCTTTGTACCCATGACGTGGATATCACTAGCGGGATCAATGATGGTGTTTAACAAGATGAAAAATGTGGTGACATTCCAACTGATGACTGAAAAACTGTTCAAGCTTGACAAGTGGTAGTTTTCTCAAATCATGAAGCTTCCGAATATAGGTCCGTTTATGAAGCTACGACTGAATATATTATTTACATGTTCAATGAGATGCGTTATCAACCACCACTCACCGAAATCAGTCATTTTCGCAAGTCTGCTTTGCCCTGTGTATGGAACTTCTTATTTGGGATTTTTATATGATGTTTGACTGGTCGTAGTTCAGGGTTTAATAAAGAAAAGTTGGAAGTGCATGCCATGATTGCAAGTCTTTACTATGATTTGAATGTCGATTATGTCACTCAGTTTTGGGAAGAATTCGGTACATGAATTTCTCATACCAATGTCACGAATGGTGTATCGTGTGCGAGGTATTAGAGTTTAATTTTAAAGGAAGTTTATGAGAAAGAAGGAATTTTGATTCCTTTGGAGGATGAAAAGGTGGAGTTTTCAATGTATTAGACTCCCAAATTTTTTATTGATGATCCAATTTTGTTTCCAACTCTGGATCGAATTCTTGATGCCATGTTACGAAAAGTAAATCCTACCAATCTGATTCTTGTTCATTATTTGATAGCTATTAACCCAAATGTTCAAGTTAGGGTTTTATTGCCAAAAGGGACAGAAGACACGTCGAAGGTTGTTAAAGTCTCTAAGAAACCGAAGAATCCTGAAGAACCTAAATTTGTTCCCATGGAAGTAGAGAAGGAGGTTACAAAACCAGTTCATGAGAATGTTGAAAAAGAAGTTTCCAAGGAGTTTGTTCCAATGAAGATAGACATTCTCAAATGAACAAAGAAGCCTGCTCAATGACCTCATCACTCTCGTGAACCACCAATCATTGAAGAAGTTCTTGTTGAGCCCTTATCTTCGCCAAAAGAGATATTTGTATCAAAGGGGATAAAGATAATATGTAAAGACCAACTTAACAACTAGGGTGTGTGTATTCATGATGTTCTAGTTCCTGTCTCACCTGCCTTGAAGAAACACAAAGATCACAAAATGGTTAAGAAGATCAAGAAGAAGAAGAGACAATTCGATGATCCACTTAATGAAGTTGTCGTCGAAACTGATCTTGATAATGGAAGTGAAAGGAAACCTGTTTATTATGAAGAAATTGGATTTAGCTTTGAGACACCTCAAAGGGACTCTCCAGTTAAGTCGACTTTCTAGGAAACTAGAAGTCTTGGTGACCATGTACACGTATCTCATACGGATTCAACTACCAATTTGGGTGAATCTCCATCTACTACCATCCATGCGAAGACAGTTGTCATACCACCTGAGGTTTTCCAGACTAAGTCTGTTACAGAGGAGGTTTGAACCTCAGGAATCCCTGTGAACATATCTGATATGGACACAAATGTCACTATGGGTGAAGGGATGATGAATACCGAAGCCCATGGTACATATTCCATTGAAACCTCTTCTATTCCTACCAAACATATTCTTTCTTCAACCATCGAAACCACTCTCATTGGTACTTCAACTTCTTTACCATAATTTTCTTCTCTAATCCCATCTTCATTACTAACTTATACAATCTTACCAACATTATCTAACATCATGCATCAACCTATTACATCTCTTTTATCTTCTCAATCCACTGAAGCTGAAAAGGCAGTTCCATAAGATTAAGTTGATGATGATGATGTAATGGTTTCCTTTGCAGAAATTAAGTTTGACCCATAAGAAGATAATATTCCTAATGACATGCTTATGTCAAGAAAACAATTTAAAATTCTCAATCAAAAGTTGAATTCATCGTTACAAATTTAGGCAGATACAAAACGTCAAAACTCTATCTCTGGTGTTGAAGTGGATATAATGGTCAAGTCACAGGAGAGTCGATTAAAGCTGGCTATGGATCAGATTGAGAAGAAACATGAAGAGCGTTTAAAGCATCATGCTCGAAATTTTGAGTATGAGATTACAAAACTCTGTGATGTTGCAAAAGTATATCATGAGATTATTGTAGAGCAATTCAAGAAGGTCCACGACTCTATAAACCTCAAGGTTATTGAGCTGAAGTCGGAGATGACGAAGGAGTTTTAAAATATTGAGATGAATTACTCCATTCTTCATGGCAAGGTTGATGTCCTTGCTGATGCAATCACAAAATTTATGGAGTATCACACTTCGTTCTCAACCAAGCTCGATGCTAAGTCAAAACAAGATTCTAAAGTGTTTGAAAAGTTGTAGGAGTGTTTGGGAAGCTTAAAAGAGTATTCGTCGAAGATTGATCTTTCTCAATTATCTTCTGTCTCTTAGGAATCTATCTCTAAGCTTATTTCTTCTGTTGAAATGAATATCAAGCCCTAGCTTACTACTATTCTTAAGTTGGTGCTTCTGTTGCCAACGAATGCCCCAGTCTGTGCAACATGTGGTGCAAGGGGGAGAAAGAGGTGTTGGCCCTTCAAAAGATTCAAATCAGGGTAAAGTTGTAGGGAAGGTGATTTCAACTCAACTTTCGACATCACTTCCAGTTTCACTGACTACTACTTCTACAACTACAACATCGAGGTCGATAACGAAAGGGATAGTTATTAGAGAAAGTGTTGGGGGATCAAGTTCAAGTTCAAAGCCACCTCCTTCTAAGGATGATAAAGGTAACAAAGAGAAGGGTATTGAGAAAGTGATTTCTAAAGAAGAGTAAAAGAAAAGTATGGAGAAAGAAATTTGAAGGCAACGTCAGATAAACAACATTTTGAGAAAATTCCAACGAGATCTACCAGGTTTAAACAAGGGCGATCCTAGTAAACATTAGTGTTATGAGTCAATCGAACAAGTCGTTTCATCGGGGAAGACGCATGATTTTGGAAATTTTCCACAGAAAAGTTAATAAGATTGAAAACTTTGACTTCAATCAACTGGATTTTCCAATTAATCACATGATGTTTGTGATTGCTTAATATCAGGTGGTTGATAAACCCGAAGACAAAGATGAGTATAAGAGATTAAAGATAAGATTCCATGCTGTTTTAGTGAAGAAGGAAGAGGGAGTTTGGTCTTTGGTCAAGGTTGTCAAAGTGTTGAACATTTCAAGAGAAAGTTTGTTTGAAGGTTTATTGTAGAATTTTCGATACTATGAGGTCCGAGAGAATAATGTTGCATGTGACTTCTCTGTTGCTGAATTTCCTTTGATGAACTTAAATGATCTTATCAATGTGATGAAGATTCTAATCACTGTTGATGTGTCGAAGCTTCAGGAAAACAACAAGGATGATTTCTTGATAGGATTTGGTTATATCAAAGTATTCATATATAACTACTATGATTACTTGGAAGTGACTGATCTTGAGCTTGCAATGGCGGTGAATAGGACTTCGAAGGTTCACAAGTCTATGCTGAAAGGAAATGTTAGTCTTAATGACTACATTGATGGGGAGATTGTGCATAAACCTGTGGGAGTTGTTTTCCTTGGAAAGAACAAGAATGGGGAGATGAATAAATTTTTGTTCCAAGTTTGTGATGTGGAAAGGTATATGAACTCTCAATATACAAGTTCTTTAGTTCGTCTCAACAATTGTAAGAAGAATAACGCAAAAGATAAAGTTGAGATTCGAAAGACGATTATCTGGTATATGGAGGTTCGACGAATACTTCACCAGGCGATGAAGATGATGCCATAAGCTCGACACCTCTCACTAAGGGGGAGATTGTAAGGTTCGAAGTATATAGTGAGGCAACAAAGTATGTTTAGGTTTGGGTAGTGTTGATGTCGAAGTCAAGTACTTCGAATGTATGTTTTATGTAAGGCGGTTTTAGAGGTTGAAGCTTAAACGTTTAGCACTTACATATTTTTTTTGTATACGTCTGTATTACCCTATAAATAGGGTAAGTATAGGAGTCGAGAGCAGCTTTTGGAGCGTGTGTGCTATTACTCTCTTGTATTCTTTTGTACTTGTTCAGACGCAATCAACGAGCCAAACAAATTTTATTTACTTGTGTGTTCTTAACGAATTCAGTTCTTGATTTCGTTCTTAATACTCGATTCAAACAGACTATGATATCCTATACTCTTATAGGAATTCTCAACTCCTACCACTCCAAAGAACAAGAACCTATATAAACACTGTTGGTTACTTTATGCATGTAAGTTATACACAAATAGAGTCATATACTCTGTCAAATGATGACTCTACCCTATGTCCATAAACAAGGAACAAGAAATGAGGCCGAATCAATCATTCTAGGGCTATATGATCCTAGTCGTATACAACTTTGAAAGCATACACTTAGCAATTAACTGAGCTGATATCAATTCAAAGTAATATATAACATTAAATTCCCCTAGGCTATAAGGTATCACACAAATCAGTAAAATTTATTATATGATTCCTAAAGGTATCCATAGCCCTAATCTAGCATGCAACTCTCATATCAAGCACACTATTCATAACACATATGTATGGGTAATCATGGGAACCACTTACTTGAGCTCGGCTGATTGAACGTATCACACCCCTTTTTCTTAGTAAAAATCTTTTTAGAAGTTCAATTTCATTTTTCTTTTAAAGAAAAAGATTATCATTTCCTCAGTTTGAGTTCTGAGACACCCGAAAGTGTGCCTGAATCTTTCAAACCAAGGCTTTGAGACCAACTTGTAACATCCCAAAAATAGTGATAAAAATTTCTTTTGGAAGTTTATCAAATTACACACAAATTGTTCAAAATCAAAAACCAAGTTATAATATTCAAAACATCAAAGTATAATTATTCAGAATGTGGAAATCATGAGGGGAGGATGTTGTGACATCACGTCGGACCCTTCTGTTTCGAATTAGAAGTACCTGGAACCATAAACTTAAACTATAATCACAAAGCTTAGTGAGTTCCCTAAAGTACCACATACCATAACATACAAGTGCCATGAGCTACCCCCATGATCTTCCCTTGCAATGTCGATGGCCAAATCTCGGTCTTACATACAAGTGTTATTGGCTACCCCCAAGATCTTTCCTTTCAATGTCGATGCCAAATCCTGGTCTTACATACAAGTTCTAGGGGCTAGATCCTAGTCTTTCATACAATTACCAGGAGTTAGATCCTGGTCTTTCATGCAAGTATCACAGAGGAAACTAGCATTCTACATAACAAGTAATGGGTCGGCATTGGTACCTTCGACCCATGGATATAGTGGGGAGACTCAACTCCAAAAGAAGATAACCAAGTCGCACACTCGAGCTGTTGCTAACACGACTCCCCATACTAAATAAATCCCAAGAATATCCCTAATCAATAATCCAGGTTTTTAAACCCATAAAAATGGTCCAAGAATCCTAATATCCTAATTAGGGGAAAAAAGGTCATTTGCCCTTACCAACCGGCCTAATTCTAAAAAAACCAACATCTAATGGTCCAAGGCCCCAGAGAATGGCTGAACTACTGGTCCTAGGCCGTACGCCCCACATACCACCTTGTACGTCCCATATACTCGTCTAAAGTAAAAGGGGATTGGGATCAAGGAGTAGTACGCGCCGCATACGGGATTTTATGCATATCATACGCCCCTTGGTTAAAAATCCCATTAAGGTCTTAATACCTTAAGGCCTTACATCCTTTGCATGGATACAAGGAGCCCAACACTAAAAACCAAACTTATTCAATCATTTTCTAAACCATAACTCTTGCATGGGGACAAACAAAGATCTAAGCTTGCATTTTTATGACCTCAAATACCCTAAAATGTATGAAATGACAACTTAAAGGCTTTAGAGTACCTCATACTAAAAAAGATGTAGGTTTTGGGATAAAAGGGATAAAAATCTAAGCTTAACCAAGATCTAAAGAAACATGAGTCAAGTTTAGAGCTTTATACCTCCAAATGGTGCATAATGAAGAGAAAATGTTGGATGCAAGGAATTGAGAGCAAAACCACCTCTTTTTTTATCTTCCTTCACAAAAAGAGTGCCTATAACTCACTCAAAAGCTCAAAAATAGCCAAAATGGGTTAGGGTCTGCAAGGGGGTCAATATGAGGGTTGGAGGCTGATAAGAGGAAGGATTTTGGGGTTATAAGGGTGTTTAAATAGTGCACAAACCCTAAATATTAGGGTTTGGTCCAAGCCATGTACGCCCAAAATACAAACGTGAGGCCAAGTATGCCCAATGTACACACGTGGCGCCAATTACGCCCAACGTACTAGCTTGTACACCCTGCGTACTCAAGCTGCCCCTAAATTACTAAAATGCCATCAAGGGTATCTTTGCAAAATAATTACATACTAAGGGGAGAAAAGGTAAATACCTGGAAGAACAAGATGTTACAATAATAACTTCAAAAATTATGAAATGGGGAGGCCAAAAAAAGACAAAGAGGGACGAAGACGAATCTAGCAGCCAAGGAAAATCTCATAGTACGAAAATATAACAATGCCAAGTGTCATAAAAAATGACACAACTTTAGTACTTTTCAACAGAAAAGAGGAGTAGAGGAAGGTGCACAAGTGGGAGAAAAAAAGTAAGGAAAAGGATAAATGGAAATGACCTATAGTTTTTAAGCAAGAGAGGAATTAGTTTTCATATTTGGTTCATGTAATTTGGCATTTATTGAATACATTTTGATATTTTGCTTTGTGTATAACATTTGTAAGGTTGTGTTCATGGTTGAAATAATAACTATGGTATGACTTTTGGTTATTATGAAATGGAGATCTTATGTTAATTTGTTAATTTTTTGGTTGTTGTAAATTGGTACTTATCGAATGGATTTTGATTTTGTCTTTTATGTATGATATTTGTATGGTTGTGTTCATGGTTGAAACAATAACCATCGTATGTGACTTTTGGTTATTATGACATGACTTTCTTATGTTTATTTTGGCGATGTAATTAGTTGGTTACATCAATATCACTCATTATTTGTTTCTGTTAAATATAAACCAAGAAAACTATAATGTTACTTTGTGTAATTAGATAGTGTTTATGCTAAATTTTTCTTTTCTGTTAAATGTTATATGACACTGCAATTTAGACACAGAGTATTATATTTATCTTATATTATATTATAAAACATATTATTCATATCTTGAATTTTAAAAGGTATAAATTACAAAGTTTTTTGTACAAATCACGTATACATATATAGTACATTAATACTTACCAAAAGTTTGAAGACTTGAATTAAAGAAAGTAATTAAAAAATTCAATTTGAAGCAAAATGAAAAACCTAAAATATTAAACTCATGCATATAAATTAAT